GACACAGTAACTTCCTTTTACATGGAGCTCACTGCCAAAAGCTAAACAGTCCTTTAAAATCTATAAATGGCATGTACAATATTTAGTAAATAATATACATCAACAAAGCCCTTAAAACTGTCAGTTACAGTTGTCAAACAGAACGATCAATTCCACTAGAGAGCATAAAATTATGGTCATAAAATTATTATTTTATGTTGCAAAGTGATTCTATACTGCTCTTTCAAAATAAAGATGTAAGAGCCAGACATCATACAACAGATTCAATAAACCAAAAAGAACTCCTGTACCTTAAAAACAGGCAGCTTTTGTCTTTGCTGTTCAATAGAAAGGGATGCATAAGGATTATAGATGATGGTCACAGCACTGCTCTCAGCAGGGCTCTGTCTCTCCTCTGACACACCGACACCAGGGCCTTCCGTGCCTACATGGCAGAAGTAAATTTTAACTGGAAGAAAACACTTCTGTTTACTGCATCACAATACAGCCAAAATAAACATGTTTCTTACAAGGAGGAATCATAGGTGGCAGCACAAAAAACCCCCAATCTTTCTATTTAAAAGAAACAGGAGGAAAAAAAGCACATAAGTAAAATATAGAGCAAGATCTTCGGAACTTTCTTCTTTTTCTGTGCACCAGTTCAGATATACCTTCAATATCCTTCTCAGAAGTATGTCCATGGATTTTAAGTCAGTCAGATATGTAACAGAACTTCCCTTGACTAACATCAACTGCATAAACATTCAGCCTTGCCCACTTTTGGGATAAGTCCCTCACTTCAGGTCTGAATCTACCTCAGGCACTGAAACCTGATTTATTCCTGCTGCAGGTTATCTTAAAACTATTGACAGCTGAAAATGCTGAATCATGAAAGTGAACTAGAAACAAAAACTCAATAACAGAATGTGTCATCTCCAACTGCAGATTCAACTGGGAAAGTCTGAGAGCAAAGAGAAAGATTCCCCAGTTTTGCAGGATTTGCTTACTTGGGCTTCTCCAACTGCTTAAAAACAGTTAGTCCCTATTCAGAGCTGCCAAGCAGTTTTATAGCAAACTGATCCAATTTTAAGAGTGATTAGCAATGATTCCAATAACTGTTCACTCCCCAGGACAGATGGGGAAGTTAAGAGCCAAGGACTTGAATATGTGGATCCTGACAAATCAATTAAGTTAACAGATATTGCTTCTCATCACCCACTGGTTTTCTTTCACAGCCTTTTCTGTGTGTGTTTTTAATACACCACTGTCAGCATATTACTATATATATATATGTATATACAGTATATATACATATATTATCATAATATTCAAATAATTAAGAAGGTGTTTGCTAAACTAATCTTGCCTCTAGAAAAGCTTTGAGGTGACCAATTTAAAAAAGTTACCAGACTCAGACCCATTAAGCTCCCCTGTGGGATAAGGGGAATGCATAGACCTGCCCAAATCCTGAGGGAATGATCACTGAGTCACGGCCCAGCAGAGGCTGGCAGGGACCTCTGGAGACCTTCTGGACTTGGGTCTTGACCTTGCTTACCACAGGGTCACTTACATGGAATGCTCAGGTCCTCCTTCAGTGGGGTTGGAGACCTCCCAACCTGCCTGACTGCTTGTTCCAGAACCCGGCCACACAAGAGGTTTTTCTCCTGTTTAAGCTGACTTTCCCCTATTTCAGCCTAAGCACTATCAAGAACAGTCTGGCTCCACCTTCTTTACACCCCCCATCAGGTATTTATATACACTGAAAAGATCCTCCTGAGACTATTCTCCAAGCTGCGCAATCCCAGCTCCCTCAGTCTCCCATTGCACGTTGCACACTCCATTCTCTCAACTATCTTCATGGCCCTTCACTTTTTGTCTCTCCTTCTGCAAGTCCATGTCCTCCCGAGCCCACCTACCATTCCTTGTAATGGCCTTCCCGGCGCTGAGGGGAATGATCACCTAATCTGAGTCTCTCCTGTCTCAGCTTAAGGCCATTTCCCCTTGTCCTCTTACTGCAGGCACGACAGACGAGATCGGCCCCCACCCCTCTACAACCTTCTTTCAGGTAGTTGTAGAGAGCGATGAGGTCCCCTTGAACCTCCTTTTCTCGAGACTAAACAAACCCAACTCCTTCAGCCGCTCCTCATAAGACACATTCTCTACTCCTTTCACAAGTCTTGATGCCCTTCGCTGGACACGCTCCAGCAACCCCAAAGAGCCGAGAGGGGCTACGCCGCCCGCTTTCGCGGCGGGCCGGCGGAACGGGGCTGTCCCCGCACCCCTCACACCACGGCCAGCCCGGCCCGGGGCTCTGTCCCCCGCACCCCTCACACCACGGCCGGCCCGACTCTGTCCCCCGCACCCCTCACCCGGCTTCCAAAACTTCACCGGGCCCACGGGCGCCGCCATCTTGGGGTGAGAGGGCGGCCGGAAGCGGCGCGCGGGGCCCACGTGACGCTCCCAGTTGCCATGGCGACACACGCCCCCGGTCCCTCACGAGGCCCCTCCCACCTCACAAGATAAATAGCAGGTTTTCCTTTCTTTCTTCATAAGGCTGGGCTTTACGGCCAAATCTTTGCATTCGAGAGAGAGCCGAGTTGTTATTAGCACATCTAATGTCCAATAAACTGAGATGCGGGTGGGTGTGTTAGCATTGCCCAATGGTTAGTTGAGTAACAGTTAACTATAAACAGGAACAAAGAATCACAAAATCAATTAGGTTGGAAAAGACCTCTGACATCAACGAGCCCAACCTGTGATCACCGCCATGTCAACCAGACACGTGCCACGTACAATCTTCTCTTAAATACCTCCAGGGACAGTGAGTCCACCACCTCCCTGGACGGCCCATTCCGATGTCTAATTCCCCTTTATGTGAGGCAATAGTGTGTAAATTGGGATCAGGTTTATAAAACTCCAAGTAATACTCTCAGCCTGGGTCTTGCACGCCCATCTCCCTGCTGAACAGAGTACTGTGGAAGCCAACAAGTAATCTGCAGGTGCAACATAAGAACACCCAAGCGCTTCCAGTATTTAAGTCTTCCTTATGGTTTTGGCCACACTTTTCATGGTACAAAATGAGTTCCATCAAAAAATAAATAAATTTTTAAAAAAAGGGAAGAGCAAAATGCAGAGAACAAAGGCCCAGGATAAGCCAAGCCTTTCAGGTACTTGTCCTGTTACTAGAACAAAGTGTATAAGATTGTTTAGCCTGAAGAAGAGAAGGCTCTGGGGTTACCTAACTGTGGCCTTCCAGTGGCCTTCTTTTTCTACATGAAAAACTGAGAGAGGCTATTTATAAGAGCCTGGAGTGACAGGACAAGGGGGAATGGCTTCAAACTGAAAGAGAAGAAGGTTAGACTAGAAATTAGGAAGAAATTCTTCCCTGTGAGAGTGGGGAGGCCCTGGCACAGGTTGCCCAGAGCAGCTGTGGCTGCCCCATCCCTGGAAGTGTCCAAGGCCAGGTTGGACAGGGCTTGGAGCAACCTGGGCTAGTGGAAGGTGTCCCTGCCCATGGCAGGGGATGGAATGAGATGAGCTTTAATGTCCCTTCCAATGCAAACCATTTTGTGATTTTGTGACATTCTCCCCTTATGTGGGGGAGCACATAGGATTTAACAGGATTGAAAGATCACTTCCCAAAAGTTCTTGCTCATTAATTAAGTAAAGCTGATCACTTCCCTTCTCCAATGACAGATGCCCCTGCACTACTTGCACCACAGCTGTTTCACTTTACACCAGGCAGCTGAAGGACTAGAAAGAAAAAAATCACAGTAATAGCTAAAAGATCCAGCTATGCCCTACCACAGGCTCCTTGCAGACTGTTTAACCAAAATACAGTCATGAAAGTTATTGTTGAATCAAATCTGATGTAGACTTAAGAGTTTGTGGAATTATAAAAAAAGGAGCCCAAATAAACAGGTTCTAATAAATTTAGTAATGCTGTTAAAAATTTACACTTATGGAAAAAATCTAATCACATTTCATATTCTTATTAATAATTCTCTTCATTAATAACTTGTCATGCTAACAGTGCAGTAACACCGACTGCACTTCACAATGCTGTACCTCCATGGTCCCTTATTATGCTAGGTCTGTAGGTAACTCCTTGTAAGAGAGGTTATTCAGTTCCAATTAAAGATGTTCTTAAAATTTTGGCTATATATTTCAGTGTAGGTTTTAGATTAAGCCCACTCTATTAAAAACGAACACAACTTTTACCACAGTATTTTGTATCGCCAATATATCAGCAACTGTTGAGAAAAACTCCTACTAATAGCACATGGAAAGAGCTGCTCATTAAAGTAATGAGATAATTAACAAAGGGAAAAAAGTTATATTTGAGAAAATATATACAGATAATTATTGTGAAAATATAACTGTATAAACAATATTTTGCATAGAGTACAACACTGTATGGGTTTTGAGTCTATGGAATATATAGTTTAAAATAAAAATACATATTTCAAATTTCTTTATATCTGCATGAAAGTTAAGACTACGAAACTATAAACTATTGAATATTTACAGATTAGGAGAGTCAGAATTATTCCATTTCCATGATTATAAGTGCAGAAGAAAAAGGGCCCAGATTAGTTGTATCCACGCAATGCATTACTGCATTGTCTATAAAGACCATTTTTGTAACCTCCACATGTCCAATTTAATGTTATCCTACTGCTGTTTAGCAGAAACACTTACGAAACTCCCCAGCTAAGTTTGAACCCTACCCTTTGAAGCCCAGAACCCACAAGACACTCAGAGAAGCATATACACAAGTGCTTTGCAGTAGAAGAGCCTCAAGAACAACTTGAGAAATAATAAACTTTGGCTTTGCCCACAGCTGCCATGGTTGGACTAATGAGTTTCTGCCCTGACAGGCTGCTGGAATTCCAGTGCCTCAATGTACAGCTGTTAGGGAGGAGAGTTTATTCATTTAAGTTGGATTTTTTTTGTTTGGATTGGGGTTTTGTTTGTTTTGGTTTTTTGGGTTTGGTTTTGTTGGAGTTTTTTTTCCTCCAGAAATTGACGGATTTAAAAAAAATAATAGTAATCAAGCTTGCATGAAACTTTAAAAATAAATTATTCTATTGCTGAGTCTCATATCATTGCATTTCTGGTGGAAGTAGAGCTTTTGAGAAGATGCAGCAGCTTCAGAGATTTCAGATCTACTCAGCTTTTCCCACAAGATCAGACAGCAGCAGCAACCATAAAGAACCCAAAAAGTATGCCTGGAAATGCTAAGAGATTGGTCTCATTTGTCTCTACTACAAACATAGTAGGTCCTTAGGAATACTATCCCTTGCACACATTTATTGCATGATGTCCAACAATCCAAATACATTATAATACAAAGGTCACTTGAAATTCAGTCACTACAAAAGCCTTGTTTGCCTGACACATTAACTCGTTCTGCCTCCCAGCAGAGCTTCATGTGAAGAAAATGTAACATTTGAGGACTAGTAGTGTGGTACTGACCTACTGGTTTCTAGATTAGGGTTACTCCAGTTCTGGGTCATGAAATGGTGGAGAGCTCATGCAACCAAGACTAAGCTTAGACTGATTTCAGAGTCACTTATCCTGCTTTCATGTTTGGAAGACTTTTAGGCAATATGATTTTTGATACCTAGATTCCTTAAAAGAAAAAGGGTTGAGCAACTGAGCTAAGACACTGCCAACCCATCAGCTCAAAACATGAAAAATGAAAATCTAACAGAATACTAGAAGACAATAACGGCTTTATACTGATCTGTCTTCAAACAAAATCACAATTCCAGTTTCACTTTCTCTCCCTTTGAAGTTTGTTTCTCAGCTGCTCTCACAAACACACTGTAAGACAGCGCTGGACAGGGACAGCTGGATGTGGTTCCTAAAGTTCTGCTTCTCGCCCTGCACAGATGTGCAGTTCATCTCTCTATGATCCAGTGTGGCCTCATAACCAGAGAGCCATTCCTCTTAGTCAGCGGAGGGGAGGTGTGCATGGCATTGTTTGGCACGTACACTGCCTCCCTCGAGGCATGCAGCCCGCTTCGCTTCCTCTTCAGATTTCCCACAAATGCTCTCAGATACAAAAAATCCATTCTCAGGAAGTTTTCCCTGGTCATGTCTCTGGAAGCCACTGTTATCCTGACCAGCTGGTCCAACACCTTGTTCTTCTTGCAGCTGGATAACTCTTTGAGGCTGATAGGTTTTGACCGTGCATGGAGAATCTGAAATTCCAGGTCAAAGTGTGCAACTGCAGGGCCTGACAGGATCAAAATGTTACTGCTGTTCAGCTTCCCATCTGTCCATGTAAAACTAGCAATGGAAAAATGAGAAAATTGTGAGTTAACTCAAAAAAATCAGTAAACAAAATATTAACTAAAAATTCACTTTCATCACATTAGTTACATTGTTCTTATAATCCAGCTGATGAGCAGTGGGCTCTTTTATGGATAAATGTTACACATAAAATCCAATAAGGAAAGCAGTTCTGCAGCATTGATGGTTTTCCTTTCAATGTAAAGAAATCATGCTAAACAACAGAAAGAAACTGGCACTTGCCTGTAGGAGCCTGTCGTCACTCTGATGCCATCAATTAACATGAATTTTTCACGGACTTTTCCAATAATTTTGGTTCCTGACCTGGTGCAGTATGTGTTCCCAGTGATAATTCTAACTCTCATCAACTGTTAAAGATACACAGCAAGAGTCAGGTGGATTTCAAAGTTCTGTTTAAAGGAGTAACATCCCAATAATGATCCCTGATTTCCCTTGAACTAGCAAGGGTTGCTGTGCACTGGCACAAGAGTCACTCTCTAGGAATCAAATGATAATTTTGTCTTGTTTAATAGGCAAAGAGGTGACATAAAAGGGCAAACCCACAAACTGACTGTGCAGAATGTGACTGCAAAAACTCCTTTCACCTAATCTTGTAGGGATCCAAATTCTACACACTCCCAAGAACCTGCTTCTCCATCAGCCTCCCAAGTCCCGGTGAGCCCAAGCAACTCTAGTCACACTTTAGGAACTGGACATTCCTCCTGCATTTCCTTGAATGTTCAACTAGTATTTATGCTCAGAAAGCAGCTGTAACATCCACTTACAAAGGTTTCAGATTTTCTATTAATTGCTGCCTTATGCAAGAATAGTCAAATCTTCCAAGAGTGAAGTGGAAGTACATAACCCCCATTTGAAGTTGTGGCAGCAAGTATAATAGTTTCTTCTTTCAACAGCTCAGACTACACTTGTAAGAGGAACAGCTCCCTACCCCTATAATTATGACAAGGCTCACCTTTTCCTGTTCAAGGTCAACTCCCAGATCCTTGCACATTTTCAGAAAGTGGGAAAATGAAGACTGATCTAGCAGGATATACACTTTAACTTGCCGCTGACGACAAGCTTCCATGAAGTCTTTGAAGATATCAGTATCTGTGAAGGAATCCATAACCAAGGCAATCATCTGCAACAAGTTTTAGAAGAAACCATTAGGCTATTTCCACAGCATCCCAAAGGAGACGGCACATGAGGATTTTGACTTTCAAATTAACTATTTCCGCATGCACATTTTTTTCCTGGTGGTTATGGAACATGGTACAGTCTTCTGTGATATGGTATATTCTTCCTCACCCTGAGATATGGCAAAACCAGGAGTCTAGTTCTCTTAGTTTTGTGTTAGACAAATTTGGTTTCTAATTCCTAGGCAAGAGGTTGTTTTTTTCCTGACAACAGATGTCTTTTCCTCAAAACCATTGCCAGAAGGAAAAGGTGAGCTTATTTCCAACAGTAAAGTTTTCCAGTGTTTCAAACTTTTCAAATATGAAAAGAAGCAAAAAAAAAAAAAAAAATTTGACTGCTCTTTACATCTCACCTCTCTATTTAAGATAAAGTGAGGTTTGTTTTCAACTTATTATTCTCATGATATTTCAAGTCAAGATCTGATTATTCTCCCAAATTCCCTTGAGAGCCATCTCCTGCTCTTCCCCAAGGGGAGAACCCCAGGATCCATCGTAGGATAAGGAAGCAACAGCTGCTTATGAGAGCTGGGAATGGGCACGCTCGGGATGTATCGCTCACAGGTGCCAAGTACCCGAGGGAGCTCAGCAGTACCCAGAGAACCCGGACTACGTTTTCATCAATACGTGGAGGAAAAAGCTGGCAAATACTGAACCTATTTTAAGAATATATACAAAAGAGGGAGGGAAAGAAACAAAGAAATAAGGAAACAGCATAGTAAGTCAAAACGGGAGCGCATTTAAGAGCAAGTGGAGGGGAGAAGGACGAAGTGGCTCCAGGCAGCCGCGCGGCACTGGGGAACGGGGAGCTCTCGGCCCATCCCCTCCGGAGCGATGTAACCGGGAAAGGGGCAGTTCGGAGATGCACCATACAGAGTGCCGCTCCTCGGATATTTTCGAGCTTGTCCTTTTCGCGAGGCATTCTCTGCTCGACAGGGGCGGTTTCAAAGCCGCCCGGCCTTGCTCGGTGCCCCGGGAAGGAGACGCTTACCGGCGCCGGGCACTCCCCTGCCGCGCGGAGCGGATCTGCCGCCGCACCGCCTCCTTGCAGCCGTAGATGCTGCCGCTGTCCCCGAAGCCGGGCTGGAAATGCGCCTCCACCCGCGTCAGCCCGCGGAAGGCGCCGCTGGCGAAGCCCGGCCAGCCCAGCTCCAGCGCCGGCGGCTCCAGGTCCGGAGCGCTCGGGGAAGTAGGTGAGCGGGAGGCGTCGAGCGAGGCGCCGGGCGAGGACTGTGCCGCCGGCTCCGGGCCCGCGGCGGGCGGCAGCGCGGCCGCGCGATGTCCTGCACCTCGGGCTCCGACAGGAACGGGGGCAGCCGCTCCCGCCGCAGGAAAGCCCGCAGCGCCTCGGGGCCGCCCGCCACCCAGCTCCTCCAGCGCCAGGCGCTGCGCCTCGCTGTACGGGCCGGCCGGCGGCGGCCAGCGCCCGCGCCCTCCTCCAGCCACTGCGACGAGTTGGCCATGGCCGGAGCGGCCCCGCTCCGCCCGCCGCTCCTTTATAGCGCTCCAGAGGCCCCTCCACGCCTCCAGCCCGGCCCTTCGCCCACGGGACAGCCCTGGGGGACAGAGCCAACAGCCTTTCCCCCGCCCAGGGAAGCGCCCGCAGAAGAGCAAACCTGGCATTAAGCAGCGAGAGTGAGTGCAGCCCTCATCTCAGCCCAGATCAAAAGGCTGCTCTTAAGGTTTGAGAGGGCAAATGGTCCCAAAAGGAAAGCAGCAAGTACCGGGGAAGTCACCTAGACTCAAATAAACAGAAAACAAAGCTCAGCAGTGATCAGGTGAAAACCCCACGGCAAAAAGGAGTCTATTTGTAAACAGTTTCCTGCTTCTGTGAGATTACCTTAACAGCTGCACAGTGCAATAAAGTTAAAAAGCACATGGAACAAACAAGCTGATTGCACATACGTTCAGGTACTGCAGAACATGAGCTCTGGAAAATACAACTCGATATTGGCTTTGAAGATGTATTTTGGCTCCCTCTCTGCAACTTGTTTTGCTCCCAGTGTTGCAGATGCAAGGATCGTGCAATAAAGTATCTTACTGTTTCAAACAAGTGCAGACAGATTTTTTTCCCACCTGCACATCTTTGTACATCTGCCCTCCAGCTTTAGGGAAGGAGTGGCTGCTTTGAATTCCAAGCAATAAAAGTATCTAAGCCACTTTGTCTATAGAGATTTCAGACAGAAATACCAAAGTTAGTAGAATAGTGTTGCTCTCTACACTTGCAGCCTTTCTGAGTTACGGGTACTTTTCTGTTTATTCACTCATTCATTGCTGTTAACAGGATTTTCAAGCCAACAGCTGAAATGTGCCATCTGCTGGACACACGTGGCCCTAAATAAGAAAATACACAGACTGAATTGAGTGGGCAGAGTTCAGTGTGGCTGGTCACTGAAGTACAGGGGTGCAGGTCTAAAGAATAACAGTACAGGTTAGATCTCAGGGAGATTTGACACACTCTGCTCAGTAAGTGATCCAGCAAGCACAGACATGCACAGAAAACTGCAAACAAATATTCAGATGATGTCTCTTCAAAACAGCTAAACCTAAGGCCCATTCAATATTGAAAGTATTTTCAAAAACTGGAGCAGCACTTCATCTCCTCAAACCAAGTTAGTAGTGGATAAAGGATAAACAGAGGAGGAAACACAGAGTATTTCAGACAGGACAGTTAAAAAGAGAAAAATGTTTATTTTTTTCATTCTTACAGTTACTTTTACAATAATATTACCCAACATAACCCATAACATTTTGTAGTGCATTTGTCAGTTTACTTTTGAACAGGGGCTTTGTCACATGCCCTTGATGATTGTCTTGCCTCCAAGTTCACTACAAAGAAGGAAGCCCTTTACAGGTTTCCTAACAGATGTAAGATGGTTCAGACATTTCTAGACCAAACCAGAATTAGAATTTCATTTTACAGTGCTAAGACTAAAAGTGTAATTAATTATTAAAGCTTAATTCTATGTAACAAGCTGCACAAGACACAAAGTTCTTTGAAGTCATCCCATAAGAGAAGTACAACAGATAGGCAGTACAACAGTAAGACACTGAGCTGCAGATAGTACTTCATCTCCCACTCACAAGCATAAAAACCCAACACTTCAGCCATACATTCCCATTAAAAGTCCTACAGGTCCAATATCACTAGCTTTTAGTTCCAAATACTGGAAACAATTACATCAGTACTGTATCTAAAATGGGTACAGAGTAGAGCACTAACCTGGTACTTCCTAGTCTGGTTTTGATTTTAAAAGGATGCTAGTCTGAGGATGTGTATAAATATGCATAAATATATATGTATCTACACAAAAGCACAAGAGGATGATCAAACCAAAGAGCTATTTAGCTCAGTCTGTTTCAGAAGGCTAAAACAATGAAAAAAGGGTATAGTTGAAGATAAGAACATGGAACTGCTCCAATAGACCCTTCACAACTTTAGTGGAAGAGTAAGTGGAAGTCAGACTTGGAATAAAATTAGCTTTATAGCTTTATAGCTCTTTATAAAAGTTGTTTCCCTTCGTGCCAAATATAAAGTAGAAATAAAAGCCAATATTAAGAAGAAAAAAAATTCGAGTGTACCTTGATGTAAGCTAAATCTCCAAAGCCACTCTGAGCAAGCTCAGTCTGACTCAAGATTTTCCAAGTTCACATAAATTAAAGCCAGAGCATTAGCAATCCTAGAAAGCAGTAACAAGTTTATTTTTCAGGCTAAGCATCTGGAATTAAAATGATCTTTACTGCTAATGCATACAAGATGAACATGCAAGTAGTTACCGTACAATACCTCTTTTTTATCACTTACATTGCATAGTATAAAACAAAGTGCTGGGGAGTGATGTACACGCGTACTAAAAAAAGTAAAACTGCTGGACGGAAGTGGAAGAATCAGCAGGTACAAAGTGACTGCAACTTGAGAGTGGAGCTTGTGTGCTCTATGGCCAGCGCAGCAATCATTTATTCAGGGAGAAGAGTGAGACATCCCGGAGGCTGCGCAGGCTGGCACTGATGTCCCGCCTCTGCTTTAGGTTGCATCTGCCGGTGTACTGGGTCATGTAGCTCTCAGGCACACGGCTCCTCCGGGAGAGGATATCCACCATGTGGCTCAGCTTCGACCTGATAGTGGAGTAGTGGAATTGTCTCTCTTTATGCAGTTTTTGGAAATATTGTGCCCTGTGACTGCTGGAATATTCAAAGGACCGGAGAGAAGACAGTGAGCCTGTCGAGCTTCCAAGAGAGCACTGGGACGATGATGAAGACAGTGATCGCAGACTACAGTTTGATACAGCATTTCCAGTCAGAAAATATTCTTCTTTTGACAACTTTCTATGAAGTAGGGGTGTTTCTGTGCCTTCCTCTTCCTTTGTCTGTGTCACTGCAGTTTTCAGCAAAACTGATGTCTGAGTGCCCGTTGCTCTCGCAGTGACAGAAGCCTGAGTGCCAGTTTCTGCCATGGCAGCACTGGTCTGCGTGGCAGCATTACAGGTGTTCACAGCAGCTGTCTTGTCCCATGGGTCAGTTTGAGTCGATGAGCTTTTCCGTTCCACCATGCTCACTTGATTGTTGAATGACTCCTCTTCACAGAGGCAAGAATGCCCCAGATTACAAGGTTTTCCTCCACGGCTATCTTCAGCCTGATCTAGTTCTTCCAACAATTTCTTTGGAGTGCTAGACAGTCTGGCAAATTCTGCTCTCAGGTTGCCTTCCACAGTATATTTTTTAGAGGACTCTGGTCTGGTCACCAGGTGATCAAACATCCCACTGTTCCTGCAGCTGGATGGACCCTTAGGGCTGATGGGCAGCGACTGGGCATAAAGAATCCTGAACTGCAGGTCAAAGTGTTCAACCACTTGGCCTGACAACACCAGCAAATTACTGCTGTTCAGCTTCCCATCAGACCATGTGAAACTATTGAAAACAAACCAAGATTCACAGTTAATCTCCAGTTCATTTCAACACATACAGTTACAGAAAGCAAGACTCAGCTTTGAAATGCTGCATGTAAGGAAGGTACAAAGTCAATAGACTATTCACTCCTTCTTCAGGAAGAACTCTATTTAGCCAAGTGCTTTGTTAAGAACAAGTTGTGTAAATCAGTTTTCCAAAGGTGTTTTCACCTTAGTCTCAGTCCCAGTTAGATTCAGCTAGTCCACATGCCCTCATTAACACCAGGCAAACAGCAAAGTTAATAAATCATTCCTGTAGCAAATCCCCCTTTCTACAGTTTCACTGTGCACCAGCAGACCCCAATACTTGCCTGTATGAGCCTGTTGTCACTCTAATGCCATCAATTAACATGAACTTCTCCTTGGCTTTCCCAACAATTTTGGCACCTGACCTCAGGTAGTAAATGTTCCCTGTGAGAGTTCGAACTCTCATCAGCTGGTTCAGAAAAGAAAGGAAAAAGTAACATCAGATTTAAGTTAACTTCCAAAAATGTCTGATTAGCAATTCTACCTAAAATTCTATGCACACTATGGAAAATAGGAACTAAATTTCTTATACAGTCTCTGAGTGCTATCAGCTACACAGTGCTAAATTTGTTAGATTAGCAGAGTCTGTAGAGAGAACAGCCAGTTCCAGTTAATTACTACCAAAGAAGTTTGGAGTGCTTCCCTGTCCGGAGAAACTCTCACTGGAGGGAACATAAACCTGTCCAAGCCAAGCCATAACACAGCCGTGTCAGCCTATATTCAGAGCAACTAGGTAAATCACCTGGCACATCATCCAAACATTTCTAAAGACAGCAACTAGGTATTAGGAAAGAGATCAGATCATACCAGAGCTATACCACCCTTGAGTTTCCCATGTTTCTGTTTTCCTTAGCAAGCAGTTCCTTGAGCCAAAGACTAAGACTCTTTAAATATTGCCAAATTAAATGCTTGGAAATTGTTGCATCCTCAGGACAGGGATCACAGTCCACACACTCCACCCAGCTCACCAGGCTGGTGCATGACATGGTGGTAACTCCTACATACAGGCAGAACAGGGTGACAGATCTGCCTTTTCTGCATGGTTTTTGCTGAGTTTGTGAGCAGTTTCACACATGGCATTAGAGGCTGTACTGAAAACATGCAATATTGAGCCTTCATTTTCAGGAGCTGAGAAACAGTTCAGAAAATCCCCTTTTAGTTATCAAACAGACAAGGTGTTTTAGCCTCTCAAGGAAGTCTGATGCTTTGTAGAAGGGTTTCTTTAATATGCATAAACTGTACCACAAAAAAATAAAAACAAACCACGTCCCCCCACCTTCAATACTTACACTTTCCTGCTCAGGACAAACTCCCAAATTGTTGCACATTTCCAAGAAGTGGGGTAGAAATTCCTGGTCGAGGAGGATATAGATAGGGACTTTGTGGTTGTTACAAGCATCCTGCAGGTCACTGAAAATATCAATATCTGTGAAGGAATCCATCACGAGAGCAATCACCTGTGAGAAGAGTGACAACACTTAGTCAAGGGA